CTCATCATCATCTCAAGCATGACACCATTGCTTTGCCTTTTGTTCCTTCTTTCTTACAGATTGCAGATTTCTTCACCAAGGCACATTTCATCTCTCATTTTCGTTTTCTAGTTGGCAAACTCTCAATGCTTGTAGCTGCCGCATCGTGAGTTTGAGGGAAGATGTTAAATAATATTTACGTAGTCTTATTTATTAAAGGTAGAATAGTACTTTCAGTTTAATCTATATATACTTTATTTGTATTTAGGTTAAAGTTAAGCATTCATAATATATAGATTATTCAGAATTCTAGCCTTCTTTTTGTGTTTGATCTTAATTATTTTAACACTTGATTTGTTGGAGACTAACGTAATTTTTGTTTCCGTTTTAGGATTTGAACCCTAAGAGAAATTGTAAAAAAAATAAAAAAAATAAATTTATCAATTGGGATGGGAATAATCATCTTAAGACTTAGTTCTTACATGCTTTTAAATTATCACATCTATCCTCATAACATGAGAAATTATTAGTTGAACATTATTAGATCCATACAAATAGTTAATTCAGTTAATTATAGAACTCAGAGCATTAATTAATCTTTTTGTATTTAATAGCATAATCATATTTGAAATGAAAAAATTAATAATGCATCCATTGTTAAAAAATGATGTGAGTCAAATTAAGGACGCTAGCTTAAGAATTTATCGGCTTGATCCATAACCTTAAATAATGAGATGTGTTCATGGAATAATCTCTTGATAAATACTTTAGCATTTGATTTTAACATAAATGTGATAGAAGTACGAGCAAAATTTAAAGCAATATTAACGACAACTTAACTTTCCATGTTTGATAAAAAGGAAAATCAAATTAAAGCCCGATGTATATATTGTGTCGACATGATCCCATGGCTAACGTAAGATCCAACAAAGAAATGCATTTACTTTAATGGAGGTGTCCACACAACCTAAAATGGTGTAAAGACGACGACAGAGCTAGTGGGTCGGGATGGTCTCCACGGCAATTTATGTGAACCTACCTGCAGCTTTCTTTTTTAATTAATGGAAATTTAAAGCTTTCTTTTTTAATTAATGGTCCTAAAATGGTGTAGGTTTTTTTTATTCAGTTTTCATGTTAATTTATAAGTTAATCGAGATTACGTTCTTCCTCTCAATCTCAATTATAATATTATAATACCCTTAAATTGTCCCAATTCATTTGAATTAATGTAATCAATTTTGATAGATTTTAGTCCTAATTATTTTTTAAATGTTAATTAATTTGTTGATAACGTGGTTGGAATGCACTCTTACTCTCACCACACTACCAAGAATTGTTCAGTAAATAAACAGTTGATTACATATTATATATCAACCCTAAAATTAATTAATTAATTTGATGAGTTTTTTATTATAGCCAATAATCACAACTAATTTTTATTGGGTGATTTTTTTTTTATCATGATTTTTACCAACTACATGTTAATTAAAAACAGCAATTGAAAACATAACTACAGCAAAGCAACAGTTACCATAATAGTAAAAGTCAACAATATTATCAAACTAAACCCAAATTTGTTAATTGAGAGCATGAATTAACAAAGAGGGGATATTGTACCCGAAATCTCATTCTTCTGATTTTTTCCAAAAAAATAAAATAAAATTAATGGGAAGGGCCCATCATTCCATCTCTTATAAAATCAAGAACATTGAAAGATTCCTTGAAAGTAAATGTCCCATTATTTAACAACACGAAGTCATCTCTTTTTCTTCATAAAAAAAAAAAAAAGGTTTTAATCAGTGAATTATTATCTATGGAAATTAAAAAATTGTTGAGAACCTCACACTAACTATTAATTATTTATATACTGTATTTTGATGTACTAACGGGAGGCAATGCACTTGAATTGAGATATTCTCAAGGTTTTTTATGTTATATTCTGCTATAATCATTAGATTCAAAGTAAACAAACGTGATTATAAAATAAAAATGACTTAATTTATTATATTATTTTACTTCCTCCATCTAACATAAATTATTAAATTCAAGACTAATTTTAATAAAATCATGAGTAAGTCACATGTTCTCACAAGGCATGCCGTTTCCGTTGAGCTATGATGGTGACACCATTTGAATCAAGTATATATAATCCTTAGGTATCTTAACTACCGAATCAACTCGTTGTTAGCTGCAAATTATAACGACAAAAATTATATATGCACGCACAATAATTGGCTATACCATTTTTAATATATGATTTTTAAAAAAATATATAATTTTATAATACTCTTTCTTTTCTTTCCTTTTTGTATTTTTTTGTTATGAGTATAATTTTAAAATCTGGTAAGTTTAACAAGCAAATTAATTTGAGACCGGAATAATCAGATTTAAAAAAACTGAAGGTAAAAACTTAAATTAATTTAAAAAAAATTAGTTAGGCTTAACAAATCGACACAACACTAGAATCGGACCGGATTTAAAAAAAATAATGAAAGATTAAAAACTAAGTTGATTTGGAAAGAGTCAATTTCAACTTGCTAAATATTTCTTTTATGAAGACATTTTGATTTGTATACAAGAAAAATATGTCAATTCTAAATAATTTAATTACTTTGAATCAGATG